GCTCAGGATGCTGCCTGTGCCCAAATGTCTACCCTGCATTTAAAGAGCCTCTTTGCCTGAACCCCATGAGCCCAAGTCAGCTGCCAAGGGCTAGCCACAGGTATCTAACTGCAGTTTGTAGATATACCCTAAGCTTTTTGCTTCCTGCCCCCGCAAGGGAAGAGGTAGGGACATGATGAAGACAGTTGAAATAAAACAGCAACGTATTCTGAGAGTGGAATTGACCATGTTCAATCCCTGGTCTACGACTCACCCCTCTCTAGGCATTCTGTTCTCTAAAGGTACTCTGTCATGCAGTCGTCATCCAGTCCCGAAACCAGGAAATGGCTGGTGCCTCCTAGGTTATGAAGGGACTAGTGGTAAGCATCAGCCAGTGGAGAAATATCACTGAAAGCTAAGGGTCTTTCTGTTGCAAGCTTTGACAGCTTGATTAATTTATTCTGTGTCAGCAGAACTGTTTGCATCAGCTTCGTGGTTTTGTACTAAATGCTGTGCTCTACCCATTTACCAGTGTTAGCTAGTGATCAGTGTTCAGCTCTCTGTGTAGCTAATTTTGGAAGCTGTTCTCTATGTTAGCAGCTCTTTAATCATTGATGCTTAAAGGCAGTTGAGAGACTTTTTCATTTTTTTTTTTTTTAAAGAGAAAGCATACAGTAGCGGGATTACTATTTTTGCAGCAAGATCCTATTTTCTTTCTATCAGAATGATACACTTTGGTTTTTTCCTTCAAGACTTCTTGCATGAGATGTACTATAATATGAATAAAATAGAATCCAATTGGCAAAAGCATCACAGGTAATGTTCTTCTTGGAAAAGGGTTTTGGTGGTGGTGGTGTGGGGGAACGGTATTGATTATTGTTGAAGAAATCCTTGATCTCTTAGAAGCAGCCGGCTGTAAATTTCAGTAAACCTTTGTTGTTGCTGTGACTCAGGATATATAGTGAAATTTTGTGTAGCTGAGGGGAGCCGGCAGTTGGGCGTCTGTTAATAGCCTGAAAGTAACTAATGAGGATGTGCAGTCGGAACGATTGATTGAATAGCTGCAGTCCTGTGTGTTTCTTTCTCGCGCTCTCTGCAAGCTGTAAAGCGGGAGGGGGAAGAGAGAGAGAAAACCAGCTTTCTCTTAAGTGGAAGTAGCACAGATCCCAAGGGCCAGAAGGCCAGAAATGGAAGTTTAAGCTGCATCTGTCTTTTGAAAGGAAACCGGCAGGAGTCAAAATGTCAGTCTTTGGAGTCACAGTTTACTCCTTTTCTTTAAGATCCAGAAGATAACAATGGACTTTTTCTAAGGATGTGGTTTTTCATATCCATATTGAAAATGTCTTATTTATGAAGCTGGATTCCTGTAAATCTAGTATTTGAACTGGAGATGGGCAGCAGTTGTGATAAAGGTATGAGTGTGTGTGTGTGTGTGTGTGTGTGTGTGTGTGTGTGTGTAATATATATGAGTAAAACCAGCACACTCTTATTGTATTAAGCAAATAAATTAGGATTTCAACTGCTGCAGGTTCCATTTTGGAGAGCTAGTAGGTTTTTACTAGCGGTGAAGGGAGAGAGATTTTTAAAGCAAAATGTCCATGGAAAGTGTTTAGGAAAAGGGAATGGATGTGGCTTGGGGTTTTTGCTGTTGTTGTTGTTTGCCTTTTATTAGTCTGCCAGAAATGGATGTGCAATATTATTTATTACTCACCTCAGATTGATTCTGAATCCTAATCATTCATCTGATAGTTGTTCCTGCTATTGATTGTCTCAATTTGTTTCAAGAAGTAGCATGGTAGGGAACTTTTGGTGTATCTATGTCCAAATAGAAAACTGATATTTCCGACTGTGAGGTGGAGACAGGACTTGAAAAATTCATTTAGCTATGGTGAATGTGAAGTTGTCCCTAAAGACTTTGATTTTACAGCAGGTGAAAACAATGCAATAGTAGTATGTAGCATGAGTCGGGGGAGGCAACCATCTAATAGCTGCCTAGTAGCAACAGTATAGATTTTCCACCCAGCTCAGCAGAATTGTTTTCTTAAGGGCACAGTAGTTGCCTCACTTCTGCTTCTAGGGCTGGAATTAGATGAGCCGGACCAATTTTACACTTAGACGGTTTAATTTTTCATTGGGACCGATCCTGCAGGTTGCTAATCTGCTCCTGCTGATATTTTTTGTTGTGTTTCTAATTGATTACAAGCATCTTCTCTGGATTTTTTCTCCTGTCCTCACTTAATAGACTTTATGAATCTTCTGAGCATGGAAGAAATTCCTTTTAGTGCAGGAATCCCAGCATGTTTTATCAACAGATACTATTGTAGCAGCAATGCAAGTTTTGGGGGAGTGAAGCACAGATTCTTCTCAGCTCTCCTTTGGTTTGATCTTATGTCTCTCTGTAATTCTCTGTCCTGGGAAAGAACCACCTATTGTTGAAAATGGTAGGGTATTAAGTCTTCTGTTTTCATTTATGACTCTGCAAAATCAGCAGTGTGTTAAATTACTTGGGATGCTTTGATGATGTGAAGTGATTTCCTCTGTGTGTGAAATGGAGAAAGCCAAAGCTGTTACATTACTTAATGCTCTTTGATTTGATGTAAAGGAGTTTATTTTGGCCCCAGATTCCAAATGGATAGATCACTTCCATTTCTTTTAATTAAATTTTCACCAGCATTTGATGATTGCAATATATCTGTTATGGCTGCCTCTCTGAGTATTTGACAGGAGAAGTTTTATGCTACATGCTGTATCTACCAAAGATTATGTCAACACTGAAAGTAGAAACCTGCAGGTAGCCTGTGCCAGTTGACTTGGGCTCTGTCTGAGAGTCTGTTTAATTGTGGTGCAGATGCTCAGGTTGGGGGGGGCTGAGCTCTAGGACCCTGTGAGGTGGGAGAGTCCCAGAGCTCAGGATGCTGCCTGTGCCCAAATGTCTACCCTGCATTTAAAGAGCCTCTTTGCCTGAACCCCATGAGCCCAAGTCAGCTGCCAAGGGCTAGCCACAGGTATCTAACTGCAGTTTGTAGATATACCCTAAGCTTTTTGCTTCCTGCCCCCGCAAGGGAAGAGGTAGGGACATGATGAAGACAGTTGAAATAAAACAGCAACGTATTCTGAGAGTGGAATTGACCATGTTCAATCCCTGGTCTACGACTCACCCCTCTCTAGGCATTCTGTTCTCTAAAGGTACTCTGTCATGCAGTCGTCATCCAGTCCCGAAACCAGGAAATGGCTGGTGCCTCCTAGGTTATGAAGGGACTAGTGGTAAGCATCAGCCAGTGGAGAAATATCACTGAAAGCTAAGGGTCTTTCTGTTGCAAGCTTTGACAGCTTGATTAATTTATTCTGTGTCAGCAGAACTGTTTGCATCAGCTTCGTGGTTTTGTACTAAATGCTGTGCTCTACCCATTTACCAGTGTTAGCTAGTGATCAGTGTTCAGCTCTCTGTGTAGCTAATTTTGGAAGCTGTTCTCTATGTTAGCAGCTCTTTAATCATTGATGCTTAAAGGCAGTTGAGAGACTTTTTCATTTTTTTTTTTTTTAAAGAGAAAGCATACAGTAGCGGGATTACTATTTTTGCAGCAAGATCCTATTTTCTTTCTATCAGAATGATACACTTTGGTTTTTTCCTTCAAGACTTCTTGCATGAGATGTACTATAATATGAATAAAATAGAATCCAATTGGCAAAAGCATCACAGGTAATGTTCTTCTTGGAAAAGGGTTTTGGTGGTGGTGGTGTGGGGGAACGGTATTGATTATTGTTGAAGAAATCCTTGATCTCTTAGAAGCAGCCGGCTGTAAATTTCAGTAAACCTTTGTTGTTGCTGTGACTCAGGATATATAGTGAAATTTTGTGTAGCTGAGGGGAGCCGGCAGTTGGGCGTCTGTTAATAGCCTGAAAGTAACTAATGAGGATGTGCAGTCGGAACGATTGATTGAATAGCTGCAGTCCTGTGTGTTTCTTTCTCGCGCTCTCTGCAAGCTGTAAAGCGGGAGGGGGAAGAGAGAGAGAAAACCAGCTTTCTCTTAAGTGGAAGTAGCACAGATCCCAAGGGCCAGAAGGCCAGAAATGGAAGTTTAAGCTGCATCTGTCTTTTGAAAGGAAACCGGCAGGAGTCAAAATGTCAGTCTTTGGAGTCACAGTTTACTCCTTTTCTTTAAGATCCAGAAGATAACAATGGACTTTTTCTAAGGATGTGGTTTTTCATATCCATATTGAAAATGTCTTATTTATGAAGCTGGATTCCTGTAAATCTAGTATTTGAACTGGAGATGGGCAGCAGTTGTGATAAAGGTATGAGTGTGTGTGTGTGTGTGTGTGTGTGTGATTTTATAATGTGCATACTTGTATCAATCTTTAAAATCAGATATGAGCACATCTGCTCTAAAGCTTGCCAGATCTGCCTGCACAGATATAGGATGCCAAAGTCATATTTTACTAAGGTCATATTGACAGAACAAGGAGAAACTGGCCTATTTTTATATCTGCAAAGGTATATATGTTTTATACAGGCAACTATGAGTCTTCTGATGGTCTCAAAATGTGACTCTGCTGTTGGCTCAAACTATCTTCATGCGATCGAACTTTGACCTTTGTCAAATTATGTTCAACATAGGATAAAATCATGATTTCCCTCTGTCACAGATTTTCTTTGGCAATGTTAACTACTACCTTGCTGATTGTAAAAATAAATCAATAAATAAAAATTGAAAGTTCTCTGAGTTGTAAGTAGCAAGTGTACAAGGTGGCAGTGCATATGAACATTGGGCTTCACCAATGTATGCAGTCAGAACTGTCTATTGTATTTAAGACCAAATCAGATTCCTGATTTTAACTTTGTTGCTAGTTGCAATGTCTCTGTAACTTACTGGGGTAGCAAGCAATTATAGGCTAATATAATTTGGCTGTTAGCTAGTACATCTGAAAATTTGTGAAGGCTTCTGTCCAGAGCAGGATTCCTTATATGATTTTTTTTTTTCAATTCCCCTTACCTACCTTCTTTACTGTTTCTTCTCCAGAAGTCCCAGCAGAGAGGTCTCCTCGAAGACGGAGCATCTCGGGAACCAGCACATCCGAGAAAACCAACTCCATGGATGCATCAAACACCTCTCCTTTCAAAGTCCCAGTAAGTGCGCCTTGCTTCCAAAGGAGGGATGTCTTCCCATTGAATTGGGGGTGGAGTTTAAGATATCCTAACAAATCTAGCACTCAGTCTATTGATTCAGAGTGGCACTTTAATAGTACTGGCTGCCAAAAGACATGAATCAGCTGCCATAGATGATCATGGCGCATTTTCTAGGAGACCCAGGTTTTACCTTTCCACAAGATTTGATCTAAAATTAGTAGTCACGTAGACTTGAAAACCCAACGATGAGGTGATGAGTAGCCTAATTTCAGTATGCCCTAGGTAAGCAGGAGATTGCTTTGCAGTCTTCACATTGGGTATATCTTTTCTTGTCCATGAAAGAACTTTAGGTGGTGATGGCATGTATATTTTCCCTTTATCAGTGGAATGAATTAGAGGTCTGAAATGGTTAACAATTTATTTAAAAGCTAGAGATATTTTTCTCTGCACATGTGTGTTAATTTGTCTTAATTCTTCTGGCTGTTAGTTTCAATTTACCTTTTCATATAAGCAATCTGGCTTTTCTTGCCAACCTCTTTAGATTCCAATTGGGATACTAAAACCTACAGCACTAAGGCTTTTCTGTTGTTCTGATTAGTCTGAAAGAAGAAGGTTCTATCAAATCCCAAGTCAAGGTAAAATGAAGTGTTCTTTAATATTTCTCCAATAGTTAGACTTTGTTGTTGTTGTTTTTTTTTAAAAAAGGCAAAGTCCAACTCTCTTCTTTTAGAGATCTTTGTTTCTCTTCATTGTATGTAAGGATTTTTGAAAACTTGAAAATTTAAAATGCTTGTCTACATATATTTTGGGCCTTTTCTGTGTGTGTGGTGAGCACTGATTTCCCTTTGTGTTGTCGTCTGTGGAGTTGAGGCCAGTAGAGCTGCATTTTATTTGTGAGCCCCAATCACCTTCAAATCACTGAAAATCACCCAGAATACTCACAACTTTGAGAAGAATCAGTTTCGGCTAAATTCAGATACAGACCTGTTGTGCTTGTTTTGAGATGAAAATTGTCTCTTGCTTTTAATGTATAAATAAATGGTGGATTATGTAATTTTACAATCAATTTTTTGCCAGTATTAAGATGGATTCCGTTTTATTAAAGTTACTTTAATCTGAGCCAGAACTTTCAATGGTACATACTGGGAGATCACTGTCCAGGAGTAGTTATCCAAGCTTGGCTCCTTTGTCTTTCTAAAAGCCTCATAATGAGACCGAAAGTGTTGATACATGTTGAGGGATCACCTCTTCATTTTAAAAGAGGAAGTAAATTTTTTCACATTGAGATACAATTACAGAATGTACTTGTTACAACTTTATAAAATCCTAAAAACTTTTCTATATGCAATGAACCCCTTTCAGTTTTACCATAGTCAGAATGCAGATGAGTATCATGAGGATTTCTGGGAACTGTTGTAAGTCCTAGCAACTCTTACCTAACCCATCTGTATTGATAAGAAATTCCACTGAGTCTGATAAGTTTGAATGTATTGCAGTGTTCTGTGTCTGCTGCTTACCTATAAATCACACACAAGTTTTGGAGAAGCCGTGTACCAAAACCCTTAATGTTGGCCTGGGTTTTTTGCTTTTTATTTCCATACTTGTCACTCTTTACTCTCCTTCTCAAATGCTTTTTCTTCAGTTGCTTTGTATTGTCTCTGAATTCAGGTAGTTGTTAAGTCTTCAAAAGTATTTCTTTTCACTTATTTTTTTTTCTTCAACACTCACTCTTCCTTCCTGTGTGTCAACTTTTCCAAGTTAATTTTTCTTCTAATGCTGCTTTGGGTACATCTTACTTTCCTCTTTCCTTCTTGCAGTTGTGATATGGTTTTGAGGTAAAGAGGTGCCAGAAGTTGTCCACCCCCTCTCCTTTTAGTAGTACAGGCAGTCCCCGGGTTACATGGATCCGACTTACATTGGATTCCTACTTACAAACGGGGTGAGGCAACTCCACACTAGCTGCTTCCCCCCAGCAGACCAGGGAGACGCGGAGCTGCTTTTCTCGGCAGACACCTCAGCTTGAGATTAAAGGACTGAGGGAAGTGAGGTGTGGGAGAATAAAACTGAGCTCTGGAGAAATGTTTGGCTAGAGTTTCCCCTACAATATGTACCAGTTCCGACTTACATACAAATTCAACTTAAGAACAAACCTACAGTCCCTATCTTGTATGTAACCCGGGGACTGCCTGTAAACAGCAAAAAGTAAAAGCTATTGTTGCCACTTGTGCTCCCCTGTTGCCCTAACCACCTGTGTAACTGTGGGCTTGCTATTATCTTCCTGATTTGTATATAAAAGACAACAGCCTGGCTGGTTTCTGTAGGCTTTTCTCTGAATATGCAATCTCGTATGCTGTGGTTGTTATCAGGCCACAGTAAAGATGAGATGAGACCGGCCTGTGTTTCACACCAACTGCTGGATGCTGCAGCTCTCTAATCTCATTAAGTTAATGGCTTGCTGGTAAAAGTCAGAGCATTTATAAGCAGAGATGGGCGCAGACCAAAAATGTTGAATTCAAACACCCTTCTAACTTTGTGGATTGGGTCCAGCTCTACTAATGAATAGAAATCCCCTCTGGAATAATCTCTTGATTCACATTAAGTTTTTCCTGGCACCAGAAGGGCTAGATCTAAGAGGGGGTAAATGGCATAAGTATTATAGAAGTGCACTATCAGTGGTCTGGGAATAGAAGGTGTGGCTTTCATAGTATTAAGTTACTTGTGAGTTTTTCTTCATCTTATAGCTACTCATTTTTAGACAAGAAGAGCACAGGAACAGAAAAGCACCTGGTTTTGTTCTTCAGTCGTTGATACTTGCCCGGCACATTTGAGGGGGCAAGCCAGCAACCTGTGCCTTGTGCTTTTTCAATGAGGCTTTGCTCCTGGCTTGTGGGTTTGGTTTTGGGTGGAAGAGGGGAAGGGCAGGGCAGGTAGAGTTATTCCAAGATTTTGAAAATAAATTACATTTACAGTTTGCCAAACTTCTGTTCTCTCAGGTAAGCTATTTCAAACTCTTACTCGTGATAGAACATTGATTTCCGGTACATTCTATGTGGCTTTTCCTTTTAAACTCCAAACGGTGGTAAGCAAACAGAAAAAAGCATCGACTTCATATGACCGTTAATGGGCCTTTGTCCAGAGTTTGGAGTTTTGATTTACAAATGCATGATGCAGTGTAAGTGAACATTCTTTCCAAGAAAAGTTTGTTGTTGTTTTTTAAATAATCGCTTCACCAGTGGTCGTTGGGAATGGTTTTATTTAAAGGGTTGGCATGTAAACTTCAGGAAATGCAGTTTCTCTGCCTCCTATATATGCATTTGAAATCATGTTCTTCCATGAAAACTTACTGTTGGGTAATCTCAGTAATAATGCATACGCATTCTTTGGTTTCCCCATATCAGTCAGCCCATGCTGACTTGAGTATATGGAATGTGGTTGTCTTGTTTATCTCCCATAAGAGGGAGTGAAGTTGGATTCTGCTGATATTGGCAGGGCACTACAGAAGGGATAAGCAAAAGCTTGCGTTTAGAGATAAGAACTGTTAGTGTTTGGTCTTTTCTTCCTTCCCGTTCCCCCAAATATGTTAGTGTTAGGTTACTTGGGTTTCCCCCTGGACTCAGAAGTGTTACTGCTCACTCCACAATTGCCAAACAATTTTTTTGGGGGGGGAGCGAGGCACAAAATGTTGGAAAAAAATGCAGCTTTAAATAAACCCACTGAACATTTGTGCTAAGCAGTTAGAAAGGCTGATAGAACTGATCCACCACCCGGCGTGGTGGTAGATGCGTAGGCAACATACCAGCTTTCCTCTCCTACGTATGCACTGTGCTTTGTCAGTGCAAGTCAGTCTTCCAGAACCACATCTGCTGTTTCATTACTGAGCCATTGTATCCCTCTGACAACACCACCATCCCTTCCTTGCTATTCCATTTGAACTGGGGAGTAGGCGAGAAGATGAGAACACCAAAATATTGAACCCCCAGAAGTGACAGGACAAAGGTGTTAGTAACCCATTGCAAAAACCGGGTCCTTCACCAACACCTCGCTGGTTTTGGCTAGTTTTGTTGATTTATTAAAATCAGTACAGATATTATATGACTCAGTAACATACGTGGGCACTTTGGGGGGGAAAATAGAGGAAAAACAGACTTGATGGCACACACAAATATGAGCTCAGCAGGGCAGGGTACAGCCTCTGAAATAAATGAAATGATCTACGTGGGAACCCTGTATGAATAGTGATGGGATTGGCTTCTTTGGTTTGTCTCTGGTTCAGAATATAATTGGATAGACAGGAACAGTGCACTTTATAAGAGTCCTGCTAAATTGAACAAAAGACACTGCAGCCAGCCTAACCGAAGGTCAAAGCGTGATGAGATCTGACTGCTACTCAGATTCATATCTTGTGCCATTACGAGACCACTGATTGTCTCAGGAGCATTGCTCCATTACAGTCAGGTTGCAAGGCTGGAACAAGTCTTTGCTCGTGTTTGGCCATGTTATCCTAAGAGAGTGGTCTCGATCTTTTAAAGCAGGAGATCACTTTTTTTTAAAGCAGGAAATCCTGCCCCTGCTCACTCTATCCTCCCTCTCTTGCCCCTCCTCACTCACTTTCATCAGGCTGGAGCAGAGGTTTGGCGTGCAGGCTCTGGTCTTGGATTAAGGGATCTAGAGTATGAGAGGGGCTCTGAGCTGCTCCTGGGGCAGGCAGTTGGGATGTAGGAGGGGTTCTAGGTGCAGGCTCTGGGATGGCGTTTGGATGCAGGAGTGATCAGAGTTGGGACAGGGCTTGGTGTGGAGGAGAGGGTTCATGACTGGGGTAGAAGTTCGGGATGTGGGCTCCAGCTGCACTGCTTATCTCAGGTGGCTCCTGGGTGATGGTGCAGTGGGGTTAAGTCAGGTTCATCCCTGCCCTGGCCCTATACCATGCCCTAAAACAACTAGCAAACTCCATCCCAAGTCCTTGTGCCCCCTCTCTGCTTTGTGGAGAAAAGATACAGAGT